TGGTAGGTAACAGAGATAACATGGTAGGTAACAAAGATACCTCATTAGGCACAGAGAGATTAAGTGCACTTCCCAAGGTCTCATAACCGGTAAGTGGCAAAGCCATGATTCAAACAAAACCTCTTTCTGATTGCAAATGGTGTGTACTTAGCCACTGCCTTATATATGACCTGTCCCAAAAGCAGAGGCCACAACAGGGGAAGGTGTGGGTTATAATGATAAGAACAGAAAATTTACCCATTTCACAGCTTTGCTAAGGATTACCTCAAAGACTGAGATCTGGGGCCCGTCCAGTGATCCAAGAGCAATGTTGAGGGGTCCAGGGATGTTTCTTAGACGTTTTAAAATCCAGGAATCCAAGCTTAGCACTGAAAAATATTAGAGTAAAGAATATCATATTGAGGTTATATTTATATTGACATTTACATTTATATAATTTTGAGCTGTTCATGCAGAGGCAAAATGACGTATTTCCCATTTTGTTGTTTGTTACCAAGATGTCCCACAGGTCCATGGTCAAGATACCCTACAGAACTCTTTCACTCACACATTGTTAATTCATGCTCCATTAACTTGAGCTCTTTCTATACGTCATACAATGCCTGTGTAATACTTATTTAGCCAAAAGTTTGAAATTTCTTATTTTATCAATTTCTGGATCTTCCTCTCAAGTAAAGAATGTAGCCTTAAAAAAGTATAGCTTTTTCAAACAGGGACTCAGAAACGATGAATTTCTTCATGATGCTTTCACTACTGCACAGTAGCCAAGTCTTGAATATTAGAAAAGTTTTACATTTAGGAGGCATTAATATGTAGGACAGGCTTGTTGTGAATAATTTTTTCATGAATGCTCCTCATTTAATCTATCAGTACTCATCTATGTCGTCATTTACAATATATACACCACTTAACAATATGAAACTCCATTTCTTTGAAAAGTATTGTGTAATTGAAGCTTTTCTCTTAAGTCATAAATGCCTCTCCACCATCACTGAGTCTGCTGGGCTTCACTCTGTATCTCTGTGATGGTTTGGAAACCAGTTGGATGATTTGGAAATAAGTCTTGCCTAAATTAGCTAGACAAACATTTCCCTAATTTTCCTCATCATAAAATTTACCTCTGAGATTCTGATTCAGCAGGTCTTGATTAGAACCTGGGAAGCTGTATTTTCAACAAGTATCCCAGGGAATTCTAATATACGTGGTCCATGGCCGTACTCTGAGAAACACAGAATTAGGTGATGCCACAGTTCTTCATTTCCCTCTGATGTGTGTGTGAATTAGGTCCAAAGGAGGTAGTGTGGGTAAAAATATGTATTTATATCATCCCATATGTGAACATATGTGTAGTTGACATCTATCCTATACTATGATTAGAGATAGAGAAAAATTCTTTTGTAAAAAGGTACAATTCCTTTATACAGAGAGAATTTATGGTGATTTTTCTCATTATTTACTTTTATCAAGGTGAGATTTAATTTTCCATGACAATCATTTCATCAAATGACACACACTCACAAACACATAATTTTCCTTTGAAAAATTCAATATACAATTCACCCCCAGGGCCTTTTCTTTGCCATGGAATGATTTGTATAATTTCACACCTTAGCTGTGTTCTTTGAATTCTTATTGATAATTGTGCATGATTTGTTATGAAGACAAACACACATCGATAGGAACATTGAGTTATACAAATTATAAACATAAACAAAATAAAACAATTGTCTATCTCTGCTACCTTGTCTGGCAAACACATTTTATATACCACTTCTTTGACCTTGAAAATGAAACTAGGTTTTAATCAATTATTCAGTCATTTTGAGACATATTTGAATATGGCCTTGTTCAATTTATTAACTTTGAACTTATAATGCCAATTAAATAAAAATATTTTAAAAGACCACTGCATCTTGCTTTTTAATTTCCAAAGCATACAACTGCTATAGGAGAAGGCTATTAATGCCTTCATAATTTGCTCATTTTCCCTTGACAGTCAAACCTCTTGGTTTCTAACAAAGGTCTAATGAACAAATTCAGGTGGACCGTGGTATTCTAAGATGAAAGGTTTACAAAATACACCACAAGACATTTACTAGAAGGCAGTATATATTATCATTAGTAATTAAAACTACATTACCCTTGTCAAAATGAATGACAAAGTGAGCCTTATGGTGTGGTGCTCTTGTATTTTATCATGTTTGTTTCTCGCCTGCCTATTGCAGTGTTTCATGGGCTCTCCCATGCAGTTTCCACATAGCCTGGTAGCAGTATTAGAGAGCAACATGAAAAAGTATGATAAATTCATCCCTTGTTTATGCCCCAGGGAGCACTGTGCAAAATCTCATAATCTGAAGTAGGTCTCCCCATTGTCATTAGTGAATAAGCAAAGTTCTGCTTTCCTTCTCACTGTAGGAAAATGTTGTAATTTCTACCCTTTGCTTTCTCCTTCAATTTTTGATGCACACATACTACTCCATGGTTTATGCAATGCTTTTCCTGAAAGAGACGGTGATGAAATGGAGGCAAGGAGTATGGGAGGCAGTCTTTGCTTTCTGTAATCATGCTGCCTGTTTATTCAGCCAACACTTTTGAGTATCTCCCAACATGACAAATGCTGGGTAGACAATAAGGAGAGAAGATTAAAAGCAATAAGATAGTTCCTACCCTCTAGGAATTCACAGTTTACTTCAAAGACCAGTGTGCACACTCATTTATTAAAATAGAACGGGACAAAGGCAATGATATATACACATGGCCCACGTACAGGACACGGTGGCTCACATGCATGACAATGTTACAGTAGTACATGGGGAGCATCTACCTCAGAGGATGTCCGTCTCTATAGATTCATGCTATAACAGCCAATGAGTTGGGACTTGAAGTACAAGCAGAGAACAAAGAGTAGAGTACCTTCGAAAGGGAAGAAATCTTAAAGAGCATGGCTTGTGGGGTGGGGCTGAGGTAGGTCCAGTGGTTGAATGTAAACAGAATGGGGAAGAGGGAGACTGCTGGAGAACAGGAAAAGCTCCATGTTACCAACTGAATTGTGTTCTCCCAAATTCATGTGTCCACACCCCAACCCCCAAAGTGGCCGTATTTGGAGATAGGGCCTTTAGGTAGGTCATTAAAGTTAAATGAGATCATAAAGATGGGGCTCTCATCCAATAGGGCTGGTGTCCTTCTGAGAAGAAGAAGAAACACCAGAGGTCTCTCTTTCCTCTGACACAAAGAGGTCACATGAGCCCCCAGTGAGATGGCCACCACCTACAAGCCAAGAGAAAAGGCCTCAGAATGAAACCTGTCCTCCCATCACCTTGATCTTGGACTTGTCAACTTCAACAACCGTGAGAAAATTAATTTCTGTTGTTTAAGCTACCCAGTCTACGGCATTCTGTTATGGCAGCCTGAGCAGGCTTGTAAACCTGGTGAGGCAGGATGGAAAGGGCTTTGCCTGCAGTGCTAGGGAGTCTGGACCAGAAGTGATAGATGGCTACTTAGCAGAGCAATGTCACGATCAGATTTGGGCTTGTGGAGGACTGCTGTGTAGGCAGTGGGGAGGGCAGGTGGGAGGGAAGATAGATTGAGGCCATAAAATATGCAGGGAACAAAAGCAGGACAGATCAAAGAGCCTGGTTCCAGGAGCCAGAAGGGGCCTGTATTTTAGTCCAGCTCTTCCACCAGCAGCTACTTGGCCCTGGGGCAGTCACTCCACCTTCCTGGGCCCCTGCTGCCACTTCTGTAAAAGGAAGAGCATTGACTCGAGGGTGGTCACTGCATGCCTTCTATAAGAAATCCTTCTCTGAAAACTCTCTCTTCCCCTCCCCATGCTGTGTTTGGGCCTTGTGACCCTGCCTCACAAGCTTGAGCAGATTGGATCAGAGAGATCACCGGACTCGATCAGGATCTATCTGGCTCCTTCTATCAAAGCTTTGGCCTGAGGGTCAGTCTGGGTATTGGGAACCAAGTCATATGACTAGCAAGAGAAAGTTTTTGAAATCCTACTCCCACATCCTCAGAGCAAGGGTTGTCCTGGAAGTGGGGAAAGCCACAGCATCCATGAAACCACCCAGTACACATGTCACCACTTCACTGTGGGCCAGCCTTGGGCCTGTGAGAGGTTCTGTGAGTGTCTGGCTTGGGTCTTCTTCATGGTCTCCATGTCCTGTCCAATTCGTATGAGTAGGGGGCCCCTCTAGAAAGACCGACTGAGCAAGTTCTGGGCAGGGATTTGGCAAGATGTGCTTTAGGTCTGAGACTCACATCCCAGTGCTAGCTCCACCCGCTACTGACCCCCAGGGTGTTAGCCTCCGGAACTTCAGTTCCATTTCTGACAGGCTGTGAGCAGAAATTAAGTAGAGGCCATACAGAAAGATGCTTAATAAATGTTAACATTGAAACAAAAGACACATACCTATAGATTCCAAACTGAAATATTTTTCATAGGCAAAACCCTTCATCAAGATGCCGTTAAATGAGCGCAAATGAAGAAGTCTGTGTATCATAGATTTGCTAGAATTGATATTTTCACCAAACTGTGATTTCAAGAATTCACCTGAGAATAGGCATGATATCTCAGAAAACCTTTTGTACTGCTATACTATCATTTTTATATCTCCGCCTACTGGCATTTTATTCGTCATTTAAGCCAAGTGGCTCTGGCTGGAAACCCAGAGCATGTGTTAGAATTCCTCACCTGCTGTGCACTCTGAATTAGATGGTTGGCCTCTCTGTGCTATAGCTTCTTCTTCATGTCTGAAAACAAACTCAAGGCTGCTGCCCTATCTTATGGGTTCTCCATGGGAAATAATTAAGAAAAGTGATAACTAAGCACTCTTCTGTCAATCAGGTGCTAAGGAATTCAGTTATAGATACATATTAACTGTATAGTATTTTTAATCAATCTGAGAAACACTCACCTCCTCACCCAAGCTGATTAAAAATGTACAGAAAAGCATGCTGACTCTGCTCATTTCTCCCATTAACTTGGTCCACAAGGAAGAGAGTGGGCTGTTACAAACATGTGTGAGGTCATTTGAATGATACAGATACCTTCCTTTAAAAACGGTGCTGTGCGTAGTGGGTAAGCATAAAATAATGTGCAGTCGGGCGATTTTGACCTACACTTTTGTATAATTTTTAGGTGTTTGAGGAAGAATTCACTGACGAAAATGTAAATTATGTCTCTGTAAAGTGTGGTTGCATGCTGTGAGGCTGCTGTCAGATGCTAGCCAGCACCCCAGTACTCTCTCAGCTGGATTGACAAAATCCTGTCCATCTAGAACCTCAAAGGCTTCCCCTGGCATTGCATTGGTCAGAAACACTAGGGTAACCACCATCCAGGCTCTTCAGGGATGCTGAGTTGGCC